TGAATCCTTATGTATGTGTTTTATTAGCAGTCACGATTAGTTCATTAGCTAACCATTCTATGTAAGCACCTATTCTACTTTCAACCATGAGTTGAGCAATCAGATCCATTCATCACCTTTCATCTTCCAGTTCTTACTACGGTGCTAGACCATAGCCAAGTCATACCGTACCACACGGTAATTCATGAACCAATGTATCCCAGCTGGGTACCCTGAAACACATGCCCCGCTTGCACCCCACGCACAAGCTAGACCAACCCACCACTCTCCTATCAAGGGGTCTAGGTCCCCATCCAAACTTGGACTCCAAGCCCCCACACGTGAGTCCCGGACTCAGTGTGGTGCTTAGACCCCTACCATCCCCGTCTCGAATCAGTCGGTCTCGAAAGAGCTGGAACCCACGACAAGAGAGCAACGAGCCTTCCCACTCTCATAAGTAAGTATGTGCTCAGGATAATAAGTCTGTGACCTGACTACCATCCACAGCAACAGACGGTCCTTAACCGACACCGACAGGGAAAACAGTGTAACCAAGTTGTCCCCCATTGGCCGCAGGACAAAACCTATTACACCCACCAAGACCGGTACCATATCCCTGCCCGGTCTCCATTTTTGCTTTTCACCATGTACTATGAGAGTAATAGTAATAATCGCCTATTGTGAGTAACGGCTGGTTGCTCATGCTACCGAAGAACCTAAGCATAGCAGCTACTCGACCTATGCTAGTAGGACTCATAGGTAGATATATCCATGCATGTAGTTTGAATATAAACCCTGTAACGTAAATGCATATCACATATATATACAGTGATCATTCAAAATAAGGGTTATGCACCGGGGCTTGCCTTGGGCAGGCGGGGTGTCAGCTAAGTCAGTTGCCGGTGGCTCCGAGGATTCCTCCTATACGAGAACCTCCTCCTCATACTCCTCGATCACCTCCTCGTACTCCTACTCTCCGGTGGTCATGAAGTCCACCAACTCGTTCTCTACATGCATGCAATGACGATGCAACCTTTAATATTTAGGCAACAACAATTCTTAAAATAAGAATACATCTCCTAAGCCATCAAGCTAGCTCTAATGACTAAGATACTAAGCTAGTTATTATTTCCATCAAACAAGGCATGGTTTCACCTAACAAGTATTAGCTTAGCAACTAAAATACATTCTTACTCTCATTAATGATCTAACTTATATTAAAACAAGGAGCACCTAACTATCCTGTTACTCAGTCTATTCTAAGGCTACAAAACTTACAGTGAGCACTTAATAATACAATGAAGCTACTATAAAAATTTCAAAGCTAAAGCTATCACCACTCTACCACACCTACAATTATTAATCTAAATACTATTAAACATCACAAATATTTTAATGCTCCTTAGCAACCACACAGATATGTATGAACTAACTGTACTAACAGGTAGACAATATTTTTAGGAACCTAATAAAATTAGTTTCACAATTTTTGGATATCTACATTATTTTATATTAATTACCAAAGTTCGGTCCCAAATTAAAAAGGAAAAGCTATTTCTATTTTCCTGAAAAAGGTAAACCCAATTCGGCCCGACACGGCCCACAAGCGCTGGCATACTTGCAAAAGCACCCCTGGACTCTGGACAGAATAACCTGTAGCCCAGTTACTATTCCTAGAGACAGCATCTATGCAAAAAGGCTCTCGCAAACTCTCTTCTTTACAATGGCATGGTCCCCGGCCTCCCCTGCGTGCTCCGGCTCGGCGAGCGGTAGCTCTGGCACCTACACCGGCCACCTAGGACCCATGCTGACCTAGCTACAAGGCCGACACTTACCAAGGGGTCGACGCGAGATGCTGGGTGGTGGTTGCGTGAGCCGAGATGCTGTAGAAGGGCCTCTCCACCGCGATGGGCACCCTGCGGTAAGGGCCACAGTGTTCTGGTGAGCCGTAGCAACAACAAGGCAGTCGGGGTAGCGGATGAGCAACAACGACTCACCAGTGACCTAGCTGACATGCTGGCTCGACCAGAGATGCACCGAGTGAGGTAGGCCGCATGTGCGCGGCGAGGTTGGCGGCGGACCGCAATGGCATAGCCGTGTTAGCGGTGAGGAGGCAACAATAGAGATGCAGCTTAGGTGCGCACGACGAGGAGGGGTTCTAGGAGGGGCTAGCAGTGCAACCATTTTGGCGCGGGACATTGAGGAGGGGGCTAGCCACGGTGTGGGCGGGACGAGTCTTAACGGCGCGGTGCTGGGGCGAAACTCCAAAATTGGAGATTGGCTGAGCCGCAATCAAAGCGGGGTGGGGGCAGCTGGTGAGAGGACATGAGGGCGGAGTGACGGGCACAATGAATTGATGGGAGAGGCATCTCGTGCCCAGGCGTGTTGGCACGGCGTAGCGGCGGCGGGAACAAAGAGCTGGACAGAGAAGGAGCGGGAGACGGTGGGGACACGATCAAGGCTCGGCATGTGTTTGCCCAGCGTGATGTGGTTGGTGTGACGGGAACAACACATGGCCAAGCACTAGCCAACGGGCACGTTCCCGCGGCCAGCGTGGCCTGTGCGCCGCAGTGCCCTAAATGACATGGCGATGGTGGCTCGACCACGTGCGTGCAGCGTCAAGGTCTTCTAGTGGCGCAGCACGGTGTAGCGAGCAGGTGCGCAGCGTGGTGATACAATAGCAGCGGCAACGGCGTCATCGCGCGCGTGGCAGGGCGGGCAGCAATAGCAGCGGCAGCGACACGGCACGACCGGCGGCCAGAGCGGCAGCGGGACGGCCAGGGTGCGGGCCTGCGCGGCAGCAACGTCACGCGTCGAGGCCAACCTACCGCAGCAGCTAGATGAGCGCAGCAGCGCGCGCGTGTGCGCACCGAGCGCACCAGTGCAGTGACGCCAAGGCCGTACGGCATGGTGACCGCGACCAGCCGGGGAATGCAGCCCAAGAACGCGCTATGCACGGATTTTAAAGCACCTAATACGACCCAACGGTTGATCCTACACCGAAACCGTCTTCACCATACTTGAGATGGTATATGAGGCTACTAAGCCAAACTAAAACACAGCACACCGCTTAACCCAATCTTGCAAAATAAATTGCTAAACAAGGCAATGTCTAGCAGTCTACAAGCTTAGAAATTTTATTCCCCCTGTTACAGGTGACAGGTGAATGCTAGGGCTGACACTTGTGTGTGGAAACCTCCTGGTGGACTCAGCGAGGATTTTCTTACGATACGGACATTGAGTTATTTATAACTTTCACCCAAAAATATTTTACAAAGGAAAGAATTATAATCTGTTATCATTCCATGTATATAGATCCTTCTCATGTTATCATTTGAACTTGTCATTACATAAATTTTGGTTTCCGTTGAAAACTCTGATAATATTGTTATTACCCGCTGTTATAATCAATTGAGGTAATATTCTGCTGTTGTATAAAGTGATGTAAGAAATGGCTAAATATGTTATAAGCTTTATTCTCTTGTTTATTATCCTAACGAAAAATTTGTGGATTTTTGGGGTGTGTTCGACGGAACGGCACGATCTAGTGCACTCTCTTAGCTACTTTGTGTCTAATAGAAGACAAGTATTTTTGAGAGGGTATTAGATTAGGCGGTTCTGCTACACTTGACTCTTAGACTATATAAAAGAGGGTAGGGCTCCCTAGATCGGCGGACAGCAGTTGTACATCTCGTCATACACAGCAACCCAACGCAAAGGCACCACGTCTAACTGGACTAAGATATTACGCTATTCAAGCGGCCTGAACCAGTATAAATCGTTGTCTTCGCATCTTCTGCCGAGTTCTGCTTACGCCGAATCCCTTTGATTGTCTTCCCGGGTACGAGTTGCCAGTCCCTAAACACCAAACTCCAAGTCTCCAACACACGTGCACGAGGCCGTCCTGTAACTAGCATGAGGAGACAACCCCAACCGAACAATAGAAAAACCGAGATTGCAATATCATAGTAGAAAGTCTGAGTCCACCTGGTGGGTGGCAGCAGGCGGATTCAAACCATCACGGGACCTCGACACGCAATCAGCTGAAGGAGCTGAGCTTTTTTTAGTTTGTTGTTTATTGACCCACAGAAACGCTGTTCACTACGCGGAGGAGGAGCTAGCCGACGCCGGCGCAGTGGGTTGGCCCATATGGGGCATCATGGGCGCCCCCAAGATTGGCCCCATGAAGCACAGGCCCATAGCCAGCGTGGCACAGAGGGGTGATTTGGGAGGGAAAAGTGGAAGCTCGTGAACACCAGCTGGGCCTTGGGGAAGAAGGGCTGAAGTCGACTTAGCCCATCCAGCTGTTCCGCGTGCGCGCTGTTGCGGATCGGCTCACTGCCGAGGCCCCAAGGATTTGTCAGCGATCCATCCCATCAGGTATAGTGCGGGCGACGACGATGACCCGAACCAATGAGGGTCCATCGTGTGTCTGGGCATGGAGGGTGCGTGGTCACACGGCTTGTTCGGTTGGCCGGTTCGTTTCGTTGCTGGTTCGTGAAGAAGTACTGTTGGCTGGTTTGTGTGAGAGAAAAATACTGTTTCAGCTGGAAATTTACAATCGTTTACGACAAACCGCAGCCAAATGAACAGGCTGACAGTTGCCGAGACATGGGCGTGGTGGCGGTGCAGTGGTCAGCCGGGCGTGGCGCACGCAGGCAGCGGGCGGAAGCTGGGGCCTCAACAAGAAGAAAGATGAAGGAGCTGAGCTTTTTTTGTTCGTCGTTCAGTGACCCAGAGAAGAGCTGTTCACTGCGCCAGGCCCAAACAACACACGGCCATATTTCTCGGCTGAACCGTTGAAGAAGCCCTGACGAAGCTCACTATATTGAAGCAAATCGCTGTCAGAAACGAATCAGAGCCTGCCTTGTGGCAGATTCGAGCGGAACTTGACATCAAGAATAATACAGGCAAGATCATCAAGCCCGCTGTCGGCGACACCGCAGAACTTCATCAGGTGCTTGATGTCGTATATGCTAGGGAAGTATATGTTAACGAGATCGGAAAATCCGGACATCGTGTCAGGCAGGCTTTCCGTTGGCGACCAACTTGTGCAGGTAACCCACACCGTTGCGACCATCGAACGTCACCCAGTAGAGGTCCATATTGAGGACGACATCAGCAGCTCGGCAAAGCGTCCTGGATCGACTCCCTCTGTGGCGTGGCGGGTGAAGTCGATCCCACTGTGGCGGAGCAGCTCGATGTGGTCCGCATCCGCGACGTCGGTCCCTCGACCCTCGGAAGTTGAACTGCCAGGCGCAGGGGCGGCGTCTGTCGTCCGGCTCAATCATTGGCTGTGTTGCCTGCTCGTCGGAGAAGGTGAGACCAATCTGGATGAACTTGAGTACATCGACATTGGCCTCCGTGGTGGCGTAGTTGTACTCGGCCAGCGACTTGCTCAGCTGCTCCGGACGGAGAGGGCGGTGCACCATGTACGCCGGGGTGCTGCACGTCCACGGCGACGTAAGGGTAGCCATCGATGATGTCGCGGATCTTGGCGAACCCGTCCTAGGGGATGGCTGTGCACACCTCGCGGATCTCAACTGGCAGCAGGTCTTCACGATCAGGCCGCGTCGCCATGGCCTACGACTACTTGTGTAGGAAACGGTTGGGCTCAGAATCAGATTCAGAGGGTAGGGTTCAGCGACGATGGGTAGGGGCTTTCGTGGGAGGGGCATTCGGAGTAATAGATAAGACAATTAGGCAGCTTGGCGCATACATGCAATCAGTAAAAGATGCAAACCAGCGGATCGAAATCATCTAACCCGTGCTTCTCGTACGTGCAAAACAATCTGCAGGAGAGAACTCCAGCCGCAAATCTATGCACATCCTCGAAACAGGAAAAAAAAAAGAAACCCGATAGCGTGGCGGCAAATATCTCACAAGTGTCGAAAGTGGATAATTATTAATACAATGTTCTGCATCTTAAGGTTTTGAGAGTACACACAGCAACGACTTGAAGACAAATCATCCCGTTATTACAGGGTTTTGGAAGGCACGCAATGCATATGTCTACGTACATTATTACTTGACTGAAAACAGAGTTGTTACAAGTCGCAAAAAAAAAGAAAAAAATATATATATATGTTGTAGCCCCACACCAAGACATAACACACCTGAGTCAACTAAAATGAAACACTGGACTCACAAGCTGATGCGAATTTCTCCATGAACACAGACTATTAGGATGCACTGGATGGTCACTTCACTGGCATTCGTCATATAATTAAACTGATGGATTATTGATACGACTAGTGTATTGGCTCCTCCCCATTTGTTTCAGACACCGAGACTGCAGGGACCACCTCCTCGGTTACCTCATCCTCCTCTTTTCTGTCGGATAGGGAGATTGCCAAGGCCTCCTCCTTCTCTTCTTCTCCTCTTCTCTGCCAGATAGTGAAGCTGCTGAGACCTCCTCCTCTGTCATCTCATCCTCCTCTGCTGTATCGTACAATGAGGCTTCTGAGACATCCTCGTCAGTCACCTCATCCTTGTCCTCTGCCTGGAATGAATATGTAGTATTTATATATGGTTCTCGAAAAGAAAGGGCGTCAGTCACTTTTACAACCAACATCATGTTAAAAGTTAATGTTCTTGCGTACTCAAACATAGTCCGTACGTGACAATAGTAACAAGTATATACTTAACTGTATCTATTTTCCTTAGAAAAGTGATAATTACTTCATATGTACAAGTGATAAATCAAGGGCTATGATTTCTTTGGGATCTTACTACGATCTAGGTGGTTTTTGGAGCACCGCAGCCCTTGATTTTCTACACATATTGTTACTATATATAATAATAATATAGTAATGGAGAAGTACGTGTTAGTGGAATTGGGAATGGAATGTGGTTATTAAAACAAGTTGGGCAGCTGGTACATACCTCTTCACCGTCGTTGTGTATTGGTCGTGCCATCATATCTTCATCATTAACCACACATACGTCGAATCTGAGTGCAGAACTATTGGGATGGAGTTGTACTATGCGCCTGAGCTCAGCGTCTGCCTTGTTCACGTCATCAGGGAAGGCACCCTTACTGTCGAGACGTGCCCAGACATAGCGTAGCGAAGGGAGGCACTCCAAGTCCAAGCCGAGATTATTGTCACAGGTAGCGTGTCCATCCTCGTAGAAAGCCCTGACTGGGACAGTGAACACAAGCCCGTGGAGATTTGGCATCACAGCAACAGGGCCCGGTGCTACTCTGCTACTGCTGCCCCCGTCCTCTGCTTTGGAATTGGAATCAAATACCATAGCAGCATCCTGTCCTCCCCTGCAGATGCTCAACGAAGCACTAGTCGAGTCACCGTTGGTCGCCAACTGGACCATCCATCCAAACAATATGAGGGTTCTCAACTTGTGGAAGAAGACATCATGGGAAGCAATATTAATTACCATAGACTGCTCATGAGAAGCCGTCCCGTAATCTGCAGGTGCAATACAGAGGTAACGGAGATCTGGCAGCCCACCCAAGGTTCTCAGACCTGCCTCGTCCATATGATCCACATGCAACTCCAAGTAGCAAAGGTTGAGGAGAAGCGTGGGATCTATGAATGATGGCACACAAGGGAACGAGATACAATGTATACAGAGACGCCTGAGATGTTCCGGAAGCATGGCTTTGTCCCACTCCATTGAGACAGGGCTAGTTTCACGAATCCATAAACAATCCAGATCCAGATGCTGGAGCTCCTGCAGATTGCCTAGTGACTTCAAAAGTTCTGCCTGCATGCTCTCATCCAGCCTGCCCATACCAATCACCCGGAGCACCCTCAGTTGGCTCTGGTTGCCCAACTCCTTCAAAAATTGCCTTTGGGACTCAAAAGATAGCATGCGAACACTTATCTGTAGCTCCTCCAGTGACGTCACCTTCTGGAGGAACCCATCCGGCGCTGTCGTCCATTTGCTGTCACATCGTAGGCAGACCAACCTCGTTAGCAGGCTAACGCTCCATGGTAGCTGATCTAGTCCAGTGTGCTGCGTGTCCAGTGTCTGTAGAAGCTTTAGAGCCCCTATCGCCTCCGGGAGCTCTCTGACCTTTGTACCTCGTAGCCCTAGGTACCTCAAATGAACTAGGTTTCCAAGATGCTCAAGCCCATGCCTGTCATACTCAAAATTATCAGATGATGTGCACCTCTCTAAAGCTAGCACGCGTAAGAGTTTAAAGCTCGGAGACAAGACCCAACCATGGATATCACACCCATGGGCAACCAATGACCTCAGTTGTGTCGTGTCCCTATGACTGTCAGGATGAGATTGACCCAACAGTAGTATCCTGTTCTGGTGAGCTAACCGGCGCACCTTGTGTCGCGATGATGTTCCTCCATCCTCATTTGAGATAGTCATGAAGTTTTCTTCGCCTGCCTGACCACGAATAAGATCAAGGACCATGTCATGAACACGACAGCCATGTATGATGCCATCCTCAATTGACTCCACGCCTTGGATCATGCTCCTGTTTATGAGCTGATGGAAGTATTCCTCTCCCCGCTGAAACAAGCTTTTTCCTGTTTTCTTCTCTATAAAACCTTCAGCTACCCACTTCCATATCAAAGAATCTTTCTCAATCTCATAGTCTTCGGGATACACACTTAGGTACAATAAGCAGGTCTTTAGATGAGAAGGCAGATCATAGTAGCTAAGGGACAATATCCACTCAGTATCATCTGCCTGCCTATTGTCTCTGCCACCATAGAAACCAGGAGAGTTGCACACCTCAAACCAATCGTTTCTTGATTTGCCCACCAACAAGCTAGCCATTGTGATGATAGCTAATGGCACACCACCACATTTGTGTAGAATCTTTTTAGATGCCTCTTCAGGATGATGAGCAGGACAGTTGTCTTCACCACCAAATAGCCTCATATAAAATAGCTTCTTTGAGTTATCATGTGAAAGAGAACCAAGCTGGTAAACTTCATCGCCACAGGCTACTTCTAGATTTCGAGTAGTTTTGACTACTCTACTTCCGTTATTGTTCTGATGCAAAGCTGATCCTAATGCTTGCCAAGAATTTATGTCCCATACGTCGTCAATAACGATGAAGAACCTACCAGTGCAACAAGACAGTACAAAATAATAGCCAGAGTTAGTAAGTAAACCTTCAAGCATCTATCGTCTATAAAGGAGAAGAAGAGCGCGGCCCTACATCTGTACTATACTAGTATTGAATATGGGTGATGTCTAATTTTAGTTTAGTCTTTGAAAATTACATACTAGTGGTACTTTATAGATTTTTAGATAAAGGATGAAAATCCAGATTCATCTACTCAAGGTAGAATCTGACAGTGGTACCTTATAACTTTGTACTTCCAAGATTTACAATGTCCCCGTTGAAACTTCTTCAAATTTGTATTATCAAATATAAATTGCCTAGCAAGAAAAGGAGTATTGTGCCACAACTGCAGCTTTGATTCATCATAATGAAAAAAACAAACATCTTAGATTTGTTTATGAAATATAAATCCCCTAGCAAGAAGAAGTAATGTACCACAACTGCATCTTCGATACATAATGAAAAAGAAACATCTTCAAATTAAATGGTAAACGTATGTATCCTCCCAAATAGTATGCACACAGCACAAGCAGTGTAGCATATATATATATAATCATAAATTGAAACAGAGAAACAATAGGTAATCAGGTGACTACTGATTAATGCGCGCATGCATACCTCTTGTTTACAAGGAATTTTTGGAGTTCGCCAATGAGCAGTTGTAGGTCGTTTACATCACGAATGGCCTTGTACCTTTCTTCGTCGAGAAGGAGGAAGATGCTGGTGAAGACTTGCACCAGGTCAGGATTGCGGCCAACCGAAACAAAGGCTCGACAATCATATACCGTACTCAGCTTGTTGTAAACCGCCTTGGCAAGAGTGGTCTTGCCCAGACCACCAGCTCCGACCACAGAAACTATCTTGGTCCGGTTGCTGCTGCTGGAGGCGCCAGCATCTCCGTGGCCGTGGGTCGATGACTGAAGCATGTCTATGAGCTCTGCCCTCGTCCTCTCGATGCCGATAATCTGTGCTGCCTCTTTGTTCATGTCCACAAGGCGAGGATCCAGTTTGGTGGCCGGCGCAGGCACCGCAATGGATATGGAGTACCTGTCGCGGCGGCCCAACACCTCCTGGAGTCGTTTCTTCATGTCCTCGATCGTGCCGGCGATGTCGTGGCGCGCCTTGCTCTTCTTCAACAGCCTGGCCATCTTCTTCTTGAAACGTTTAAGCAAGCCTTTCTTGCTTTTAGTCTCAGCAGGGGCGGCCCCCTCCACGACATCGATGAGGAAGGCGTCGAGGATGTCCTCCATGTCGTAGGACGCCTCTCTGACGTCGCCAGCCCACAGCCGGACCTGTCGATCCAGATGCTCTGGCGGCGTCTCGCCCACCTTGCAGAGAGCCGTGTGCGCACTCTCGAGCTCATTTTTCAGATACTCGATTTGCTCCGGAAGGCCCTTCTGCAGCTTGTACTCCCCGTGCAGGAGCTCGCCGAGCTTGGTGACGATGCTGCCCACTGCCCTGGCCACAAGATCCATGTCGACGGCAGGATGGAAGATTGGTGACGTTGAACACCAAGAGAGATTCCGCACACGCGGAAGCTAGGGGAAGAAGCTCGGTGGCGGCGGAGGATTTCGGAGCTCGGCAGTGGAGGATATCGGAGCTCGCGTGAGGAGCAGCCCGGCAGTGGAGGATCTCTGAGCTCACGTGGGGAGGAGCCCGGCAGCGGAGCACGAAGCGCGGAGTCGATCGGCGACGCGTGGGGAGGAGTCCAGCCTCCAGCGGCCGCATGCGGGGAAGGAGCTCCGCGGCGGCGGCGGATCTCGGGCGCAGCGACGCGTGGGAAGAGGAGCCCGGTGACAGTGGATGATCTTGGTGGCGGCGGCGCCCGGGAGGAGAAGCCCAGCGGCGGCCCCAGTGCCTCTCAAGCGAGCGGAGGGGCGAGCGTTAGCGAGAGGAGTATCTTTGTGTCCTCTAATTGGCGTCTTTGTGTCTATAATACTCACTGTTGAGAGCATCTTTGTGGCTGCTAATTGGCATCTTTAATGAACTAGGCATATGTGTAATAATACTCAACTTCAATTTGGCACTATTAAATTGTAAAGCATCTTTTCGTTTTAAATGTACGTATTTTTTGTGAAAGAATTAAATGTACGTATTAGTATCTTGCAAAGTTTTTCGTAGAGCCTTAGAAATCACTAGGGCAGGGCTTGCTTGTCTCTCGCTGATAATAACGCATTCACTTGCAGCTGGCACTGCAACGCTTCTGATGTGATGGATATGATCATGTGCGCGTATCGATCGGCGCATGTGGCTTTGCCTTTAAGTGTGGATCTTTGTCAGGCACGCAACGGCAGGCATACAATACAACCAACGTTAACGTGCTTCACTGGGTAGTCGTCATCGTTTCCAGTGTACAATGCTTTAATAGATAGGCATATTTCAGGGTTTGAAGCACGGAGTATAATAAAATGAGAAAGAAACGATGACCTGCTGCGGCTGCTCTAGTAGTGATAGGAAATATATTAGGGCCCGTTTGGATCTTTTAGTCCCTAAACTAAAGTTTAGTCTCTAGATCCCTACCCTGATTTGATAGAGGGACTAATGATAATTAAAGCTAATGTACAAAGACCAAAAATCCCCTAAATAATGCACACAATCTTCACTCGAGAGGGGAGAGGAGTGCATTAATGAGGGGTAGGGGGTGTCTTTTGGGTGGTTGAGTCGACCCCTTTAGTCACCACCAAGGGACTAATAGACTAATTAGTTTAGTCACCCTTTTAGTCACCTTGTTTGGATCTTTAGAGACTAAAAGAGGACTAAGGCCCTTAGGGAACAAACCATGTGCTAAAAGGTGAAATTAGGCATTTATTGCAGCTACAAAAATAGACTATAAACATTGGGCAGCTTCACCATAAGAAACTGACATCAAAAGTTAACCTTAAGCTTAAGGTGCATCCATAATAAATAAAATAACATTTCTTTCTCTTCTTTTGCCCATCTTGCTACTTGGCATGCCCAATCGGTGGTGTTGGCTCTACCGTCAGGAGCTCACCCGGAGAGGCGAAGTGAAGTCCTCTTGGAGACACGCAATTGAAGAATAAGACCAACAAATCCAGGACACTAGTGCAAGACTGAGCATCAGTCCCGGTTGCGAATCCGGGACTCAAGCCCCCCCCCCCCCTTTAGTTCCTGTTCTGGGAACCGGGACTGAAAGTGGACCTTTAGTTCCAGTTGCTGTCGACGAAATATAATTGGCAGTCTACCGAGTGGCATGCCTATGGTAATAGATGAATCAGTGGAGGTGCGTGGGATATGAACTGGATGGTGACATATAGGCGCAGAGATAACGATTTAGGCAGGTTTAGGGTCCCTACCCGCCTTATATAGCATGGGAGGTAGGGTTACAGGTCGGTTGAATCTAACCTTGATGGGTTTACATGATAAGCGTTACAGGGATTGCGGTATCTTAGCATATCTGAACAAATCTTCCTTGGTTATGCTCGCTTGTTAGATACTATTCTACTTTTGAATAGCGATTATGATCTATTCTACTTCTGACTAATGACTAACACCTTAGGAAGTGGACACACTTGTTATATCTATATAGCACATATCTTATTTATTTATTCATTTTGCTTATGTTGAAACTACTTCTTTTTATGCTCGCTTATAAAGCAGGCGGGTCTATAGAGGCGCACGCCTCCTTCCTCGCAAGTGCGACCAACAGGATTCGCTGGCAGCCACCGTCAACACGCATTTTGGGGCTCTAGGTTTAGCCAACCCAAGCTCGCATGGTGGTTCGCACATGAAATATAATGATCGCGATGGCATGGTGCTTGATGTATGCACATGGCCACATCAACACGTCTTCTGGTGATTTGCCTTGCTTATAATAGACTTACAGTACATACTTTGTCTTATTTATTTAAACCTGACGACTTGACCCAACATGAAAGCACTTGTAGAGTCACAAACAGAAAATGCTGTGTCAGATAAAATGTTAACACCATTAAAACTATGTTACATAATCGAAAGAATCTTGTATTACACGTTAGCTGTCACATGCTAATGTTTGTCAGGTGCGTTAGCTATCATCGACAATCCAAATTTTGTTAATCAAATTATGTTATGCCATGTCATGTTAATATTATGCTAATCATATTACATGTCACGTTATGTTACTTGTTAATCAACTTATGTCATGCCCAAAGTTGTAAAATAAAAATATTTTTCATATCCAATAGATCATGGATGCATCAATTAGGTCTATAAAAAATTTATATCCAAAATTTTTCTTATTTATCCAAAATTAGGTCTACAAAAAAATTTATATCCAAAAAATTTATATCCGATAGATCATAGACGTTTGCGCAAGCCATCCTTGCTCTCAGTCTCAGCAGGGGCGGCCCCCTCTACGACACCGACGAGGAAGGTGTCGAGGATGTCCTCCATGTCGTAGGACGCTTCTCTGACCTTGCGAGCCCAGAGCCGGACTTGTGGATCCAGCTGCTCTGGTGGTGTTTGTCTCACCTTGAGGAGAGCCGTTTGTGCGCATTCGAGCTCATTTTTCAGAGACTCGATTTGCTTGGGCAGGCCCTTCTGCAGCTTATACTCCTCCTGGAGCAGCGCGCCGAGCTTGCCGATGATGCTGCCCACTGCCCCGGCCACAAGATCCATGCCGACGCCAGGATGGAAGATTACTGGTGACGTTGGACACCAACAGAGATTCCGCACTTGTGGAAGCTAGGGGATGAAGAGAGAAACGTGAGCAATTATTGGTGCAGTGCAGAGGACTGGAGAACGCCGCGATATATATGTCAACTTGCTTGCTAGGAGAGGAAGATAGCAAGCCTGTCTTTAAAGCGGTCCAATAGCAATTATTGGTTGGGGAACTAGTGTAACTGGAAGAAAACAGAAGAGGGGTACATGTGCTGCATGTATTTCACAGCGTTATCGCTCAGCTCGGAGTTCACACCGTAAGACGACTAGGTGCTATGCACAACAAGTAATACGCTACTTCTGCAAATGATGTTTTTTTTTCTGACAGAACACAAAAGATTATAGGATCAACTAACAGTAGATCTAGTGAGTGGTTTTCTTCTATTCGGGACAAAAGCCCTAGAACAAGTACAAAAACGAGAGAGAGAGGATGAGAGTGGAGAGGTGTTATAGACCGTCAGCAGGCTTGGCGCTGGAGCTCGAGGTCACCATGACGAAGGTGTGGCGGCGTGAGTCGGTGAAGGGGCGACGCAGGAGCGACGGTCGTAGGAGAGGCGTGCACGTCTGCGGCGCGACTCTCGTGGCGGTGGCGTCCCTGCAACGTGGTGGCGGAGCTTCCGGTCGCTTCAGCGCTGCCCTCTAAGATCGGATTAGGGTTAGGAATGTAGGTGGGGTTTGTGGCGGCTGCGGTGAAGCTCGTACCCAGTGCCTCAACCCCCACCTTCCTCTTTATAGCGCTGCGCAACGGGAGGCCACCAACCATACTTGGGTTGGGTGCCCCCGACTAGGGCGCGGATCAACGGCCCTAATTGGCCGTTGGGTTAACTTGGTGGAGATAAACCTAACAATCTCCCTCTTGGTCTCACCTTATTACTTAAACTTAAAATACTTATCTCTTTTTCCCATTCCATCACAGATTAGTGCATAGAGCGTGCCTTGTCACTACAGTTAGTACCATTGGATTAATAGTAAACAACACTCTCTGTTTTGAAACAGATTCTCATCTAGGACCTTATTGTCCTAGAATCATAGGCTTTCCCATAAACCCATGCCGGCTAAGTGTTATCTGAACATATTGGGTGGTAAGCCTTTTGTAAGCGGATCCACAAGCATCTTCTTTGTGCTTACATGCTCAAGACTAATAGCATGATCCCGGACTTTGTCTTTCACAACATAGAACTTTATGTTAATGTGTTTGGCAGCGTTACTTAACCAATTGTTGCGAGCATAAGTTACTGCTGGTTCATTGTCGCAGTATAACTTGAGTGGTCTATGGATGTCGTCAACCACTTTTAACCCGGGCATAAATTTCTTTAGCCAGTTCACCTGCCCCGTGGCCTCATAACAAGCTACAAACTCGGCATACATCGTGGACGATGCAGTGACGGTTTGCTTGGATCTTTTCCACAATATAGCTCCTCCTGCGAGAGTAAATACATACCCTGATGTGGATTTTCTATCATCTACATCTCCCGCAAAATCTGAATCTGAATACCCCTCTAAATGTAGGGAATCAGATCTTCTGTACGTTAGCATGAGGCCTTTTGTGCCTTGCACATAATGCAAAGCTTTCTTAACCATTCTCCATTGTTCTATTTCTAGATTACTCTGATATCTGCCAAGTATCTCGGTAACAAAAACTAAGTTAAGGCGTGTGCATACTTGAGCATACTGCAAACTTTCGACAGCCGAAGCATATGGAACCACTTTCATTCGATCAATCTCATATTGGTTCCTAGGACATTGGAATTCCCCAAAACTATTGCCCTTAACTATAGGAGCAGGTGAAGGCTTACACGCATGCATACTATATTTC